CATCTTTAAATCTCTCCCCGACTCTTCTCCGTCCTTCTTCCACTTGGCAGGTAGAAGTACAATTACATTGGGCTCACCCAGATGATCCAGATTAATCTCCCTATTTTTAAGATCCTTAATTTAACAAAAACACATGTGGTGATGGTGGGGGGGGGGGATACTTGGAGGCGGGTACAGGGGAAGAAAGGGTGCCGGACACAGACTTGACTTGGGGCTGGGTACACACAGTGTACAGATGATGTGCTGCAGACTTGTGCACCTGAACCTGTATACAGTGTATCAAAAAGGCCCTTAATTTAATCACATCCTGCAAAGACCTTTTGACGCGTTTGCAGATTCTGAGCGTGAGGATGCGGACATTCACTAACGTGGAGGGTCACTAATGTTCTCACATGCTTGTCCTCCTCTGGGGATCAGATCTACTGGCCTGCGGTGCCAGTCTGTCCCGTTGGTGACGATGTAACTCTGATATGTGGCTATGGTTGCATTTGCAGGGTCAGCCACCATAAGCTATTTGTACTTTTGTAATTAATAGGAAATGCGAGGGTGATACTTTGAAACTACGTCAGTATCCTGTTCTTGCTTCCCACCAGCTTTGTCCTCTATGAGGATTACTGGCTGGATCAGTTATTACTGAGAATCTTGCAGACGGGGTCTCCATTTTCTACACCGATCACTTGGCATTTAACGTCAGGGAGAGCTTTGACTTCTCCATTTGTGTATTCATTTATCTCATGGATGGACTCACAGACTCTTATCTCACTCCCTGAACATTCTGTTATGAAAATGATCTGTTCGGATGTGGAAACTGTCCCAGGTTTAGCCCAGGAAAGCACCTTCAGGCTGGTTCCTATGTCCTTTGGACAAGCCCCAGGATTTGTTCTCTGCTGTAAGATGTTGCAGGCTCCTCCTGTGCCTGTCCCGCTGGGCCTTGCGACCAGTCCCTTCCCCAGAGCGCATTCCTGTGCGCGCGGGATGGTGTTCGGAGACCGAGGTCCTGGGGCTGGGCCTGCTCCTTCCTTGTGGGCCGCTTCTGCTTCTAGCCCATTCAGAGGACAGAGCTTCCAAATACAAAGAACACTAGGTAAGAATAATCGACACACATACCTAGTCCTGTCTCTCTTAAAAAAAAAAAATTTTTTTTTCTTTATAGTATTTTGCCGTCTCTGGGCCTGCCGGGATGGGTGCAACAATGCAACTACAAGCACACGCTGCTCAGGGTGAGAGGGAGCTTCGCAAAAGATTTAAGGACGCAGTCCATTTATTTGCAGATTGGTCCCCCCAGGCTTCAAGTGGATTTATGTAAATTATTTCCTTGAGATGGTGTCTCTGTAAACCATACAGCCTAGCCTTGTCTCTTGCTTTTTATGGTGGAAAGAGACATTGAAACTAAAAGATAATAAACACAGACATTCTTTTTTAGTGTTTTTTTTTTTAATCCTCACCCGAGGACATTTTTCCATATTTTGTTCAGATACAGTGGGACGGGGAGAGAGAGAAACATCGACGTGAAAGGAACATATAGAGTGGCTGCCACCCGCATGACCAACCAGGGCCGGGGACAAACTGCAACCGAGGTACGTGCCCTTAGCGGGAACCAAACCTGCGTCTCTCCGGACCACAGGCCGACACTCTAACGGCTGAGCCAAACCGGCCAGAGCAAACACAGATATTCTTGAATCCTAGGACCCATTAGTCCACCCATGCAAACCTTATCTTATTCACATGCAAATGAAGCACGCAGTTGCACCTGGGCTGGCCAGACAGCCAGAATGCATTAACACAAGGTTACAAATCGTCCATCTTCCAACCCCCCAACCCCACAGATTTTAGAGAGAGGAAGGGACAGGGAGAGGGAGAGAGAGATAGAAACAGTGATGAGAGAGAACATTGATTGGCCACCTCCTGCATGCCCCCCACTGGGGATTGGGCCCACAACCTGGGCCCTGACCAGGAATCAAACCAGCAACCTCTTGGTACATGGGTCAAAGCTCAGCCACTGAACCACACCGGCCAGGTATGGCTCTCTCTTCAATTTTAAACCCGTGAGTTCATGCCGATACCTTCCATTGCAGTCCATAGCCTTCTGTCTTCCCATATTGATAACGCCTTCCTCCGACAATGAGAACCTGACTTCCAATGTCCTCAGTATATTTTCTTTTCTTTTTTTTTATCCTCACTTGAGGACATTGTTGCATTTATCTTCAGATAGAGGGTGGGGAGCGAGGAAGAGAGAGAGAAACATCGATGTGAGAGAGCAACATTGAGCGGCTTCCACCCACACGACCCCAACTAGGGCCGGGGACAAACTACAACTGAGGTATGTGCCCTTAGCGGGAACCGAACCTGGGACTCTCCGGTCCATGGGCCGACGTCTAACTGCTGAGCCAAACTGGCCAGGGCTATCCTCAGTCTGTATTTTTTTGATCATTATACAAATCACAGCAGGTGTTTGTTTTTATTCTTACCTGAGGACATTTTTCCCCACTTATCTTTAGATAGATCAGGAGGGAGCAAGAGAGAGAGAGAAACATCGATGGGAGAGGGACACATCGACTGGTTGTCTCCTGCATGACCCCGACCAGGGCCAGGGATGAAGCACAACCGAGGTCCGTGCTCTTGCCCGGAATCAAACCCGGGTCTCATTGGTCCCCGGGCCGACACTCTGACCGCGGAGCCAAACCAGCCCAGGCACAGACGGTGTTTGCAGGGCTGCTGTCCTGTCCCCCACGGAAAGGAGAGGTTCCTATTTGCAGGTGCTTTTGTCTGTCGCCTGAGGATAGACAGGGTGGGCAAAGCAGGGGTCTAGCTGTGAGCACGTGAAACACGGAGTCGATTCTTGTGTGATCATTTGTGAATTATTGTACTATTTCCCACAGGAACGACTGTGAACCTGCTTTTGCGCCCCTCTGGATGGCCCACGACCAGTGCTCGGCGCCCCCATTCGGTTGGTGACGTGGCGAGTTTGAAACACAGTTAGTTCATGTGTTTCTGCTTGTCTTTCATCTTCAGTCTTTGTCTTGGAGTATCTGACTCTTCCCAGCGCACAGAAGATGGAAGTGGTCTGAAAGCCACGTTGGTGCGCGAGGATGAACTGAAGGGGTCCTGCCCCCCACTCGCCCGACCGCCCCTTAGTTCCTGGTCCATCCCCTCTCTCTCAAAGAAAAGGGAATAAAAGGAGACACATGAGTATTTCCTCTTATTTCTTATGCAAACGGAAGCATCCTACACACACTGTCCTGCGCTTTGAGTCTGTCACTTAACCAGAAATTGGGCCAAGACGCCAGGGCAGTTTGTGGGAGCCGCCTCCTTCTAGGCTCTTCCCTCTGGAGCACACTTTCCCTGCCAGCCTCCGTGACCCAGAGTGCCAGCCCTCTGCCCAGCGCACCTGCAGCTCCCGCCTCCACCAGCCTGGGCGGCCACCCTCCCACTCTGTGCCCTTGGCTGACTCACTGTGTGTGGATCCCTGCCTCCGGCCTCCCCACAGCCTCCAGGACCCCAGACAAGCCCTGTGCTGTCCTGATGCCTGCACAGGCCTCTGCCCCTTCGGCTGGGTCCCAGTGGACTCCTCTGGCTTGAAACGGAGGCTCCGGCTCCTCTTCCTGCCCCCACCTGTCAGGGCACCCAGGAGGCCAGTGAGTCCCAGCTCAGCCGGCTACTGGCAGAGCCTCTCCTGGGCTCCCAGGTTTGGTCTCAGTTTCTTCATCTGTAAAATGGGTTGACAATAAGGTTTATCTCACAGGACTGCTGAGAAGAGGACATGAAATGCCCTAGGAAAAGTGCTTAGCCCAGGGTCAGGAAGGAGGTAAATACTTGCAGAGGTGTGTTGTTGACCTTCAGAGCCCCCCACCCACCCTCAAGCCTCTTCTGATCCTGGAGCCCAGGCCACCAGGCCCTCTGCACCCTGGGGGGATTCTGAGTCCAGGAGGGTGTGGCCAGGGCCTGCCTCCTGCTCAGTCTGGGAGTCCAGCTCCCCGAAGCTTCCCTGCTGTGCCCTCCCCCTCTTCTGAGCCCCTGGGCACACCCTGTTTCACTTTGTTATTGTATTCATGGCCTTTCCTCCCCACCCTGCTCCCTGCCTTCCTCAGACAGACTAGTTACTACCTGACCTCCCCCCCACCTTCCAGGCCGTTCACATATGATTTAGAAAAACACAGAATGCTTTGCCAGTGTTCACACAAATGGCATCATGCAGTAAACCTCGTGCCCATCACTACTAGGGCTCTCGGCCACTCCCTGGAGTGCCCACTGTGGTTACTCATCCCACCCCGGGCCGGGGAGTGGGGAGTGGAGGCAAACCCGCGGATCAGGCAGCATCGCCCCTCAGGTGCCCTCTCATCGCCCCGTGGACACGCGGGGACTCTTCTCTGGGCACTTCATTCCACCCCCTGCCAGGCCCTCCTTTCCAGAGGCTGCCTCCAGCTTAGGGCTGTGGGCATGTTTCCCTGGAGGCATTTCCTGGCTGGGCCTGGGGCCAGTGTCCCCATCCGAACGTGGCACAGGGGTCCCTGCTCACCCAGCTGTGCGTGACCGCGAACTCCGCACTTGGCACAGGGCGCCGCGGTTCTGCCTTCAGCCCGCCGCCAGGCCTGGGCAGTGTTTGCGGGCGCACAGACCAGGCGGACAGCCGGTCCCACCCCTGCGGCACACTCACCGGACATCTGGGACTGTGGTCCTGACCCAGGGCAGGCACGTGGGGGTGGCGCCAGGGCACCCACAGCGAGCAGGCGCTTCTGGGGCACACCTGGTGCTCACCTGGAGGAGAGGGGCCTACCGCAGCCCCGGGACCTCATTGGCTGGGGTGAAGGGTGACGCCGCCCAGGGACCAGCGGTAGCGCCAGGGGCGGGGCTGGGCTCTCCCCCCAGAGTTACCCATTTGGACCGCGCTCCGCTCCTCATTCAACCCCTGAGGCTTCCAAACCCCGTGCGCCATCCCGGCACCGCCGCCACGGATCCCCTCCGCGGGCCTGTTCTGACCCTGCCCGGCCCGGCCCCCCGCCATGAGCTGCTTCGAGGAGGAGGGCAGCTGGAACGTGTCCTTCAGCGGCTCGGGCTTCCTGGGCCTCTACCATGTGGGCGCGACCCACTGCCTGCGGGAGCGCGCCCCGCACCTCCTCCAGGGCGCCCGCCGCGTCTACGGCTCCTCCTCGGGGGCGCTCAACGCCCTCTGCATCATCCTGGGCAAGCCGGTCGGTGCGTCAGGGGCCGGCGCGGGTCACGGGAGCCCCAGCGGAAGCTGATTCCGATGGACGGGGTGGGTGCGGAGGGAGGGGTGCGCCAGGGCCCTGTGCTTGGCCTTGCCCGGGGTCTTTACTCCTGGCACACTCCCATTTAATCCTGATGAGGACCTGGGACGATGGTCACCCCCATTTCACAGAAGAGGGATGCCAGGCTCAGAGCCAGGAAGGCTGTTCCCAAGGTCCCTTGGGGGAAGAGGTGGGACAGGGCCTTTGAACTCAAGGCTGGGCACAGGCATTCTGAGCAGGAGGCCGGAGGACCCTCCGCTCCCGTGACACCCAGGGGGAAGCCAAGCCTTCCAGCGCGGTGGCAGGCTCCCCGGGGGCTCAGGACGCTGTCCCCGTGCCTGCAGAATTCTGCTGCTTCCACCTCCTGGGCCTGGTCAAGCAGGTGGAGCAGCTGAGCCTGGGCATCTTCCACCCGGCCTTTGCGCCCATTGAGCTAATCAAGCAGCAGCTGCAAGACTTCCTGCCCCCTGACGTCCACATCCTGGCCTCCCAGCGGCTGGGCATCTCACTGACCCGCTTTCCTGATGGCCACAACGTCATTGTCACCGACTTTGCCACCCGTGATGAGGTCATCCAGGTGAGCAAGTGGGAGGCCCCAGGACCTGGTGCTGAGTGGGATCTGTCTCCCACCAGAGTGACTGCCAGGCACTTCCCAGGGGCAGACACATCCGCAGGGGGGGGGCGGGGCTGGAGGGGGCCAACTTGCAGCCCCTCTGCTGGTTTATAGGGAAGGGGGTTGAGGGGCAGAGAGGGCAGCAAGGTGAGCACGGACACTCCCAGCTCGCGGTGGGCTCCTGGGCTGCACACAGAGGGTGTGGCTGGGGAGGGGGCAAAAGTCAGAGCCCCTGAAGGGGCTGCTCTTTCCAGAGGGGCGCCTGCCCCACCCCAGTCCTCCACGTGCTCTCTGACATGGCAGGCAAACATTCCCCAAACGTCTGCCATGAGCTAGTCACCATTCCCGGCCCTGTGACCGACGGAATGATATAGACCAAAATGTCGCCCGAATCTCGGGGCTTCTAGTCTAACGTGTGTGGGGTACAGATAATGGCCCCGTGGGCAGTGAATTAACAAAGGGCCTATTGAAATCAAACAGCGGAACATGACAGCGCTGTGTGGTGGAGGACAGAGTGAAGGCCAGGAGGTGGGGGTGTCAGGCAGGTAGGGGAGGTCTGACCTGGTGCTTCGCCCCTCTGTCCCCATTGGGGTCTGCACCTTCCACGCAGACCGGGGTTCTGATGCAGCATCTGCTTCATCTGGGTGTCCCCAGCACCCAGCTCGGTGCCCGTCTCTGAGTCTGTGCTGACCTGAATTCTTAGTGTGTGCAGGGAGGGGCCTGTCCCTTGCTGCAGTCTGCTGTCCATGGCTTCCCAGGGAGGCCAGCTGGGGACCCCAAGGTGCAGTCCACCATCCTTGCCCATGTGGCACATAGTAGGTGCTCATTAAACATTAGCTGCTGTCACTCTTATCATTAATCTGTGGGGACGAGGTCTGGCTCTGCTTCTCCCAGAGCACAGGAGGGAAGCTTCCAAGGCTCGGGGAGACCAGGCAGGCCCGATGCTCCAGGGAGCGCGCCCCAACCTCCTCCAAGGCGCCCGCACGTCTAAGGCTCCTCTTGGGGGCGCTCAGTGCAACCTGCACCATCTTGGGCAAGTCAGTCGGTGCGTCAGGAACAGTGCGGGCCAGGAGACTGGCTGGAACCCGAGCCTTCCAGGGTCTCGTTCTCTCCCCTGGATACAGGACAAATGACAGCCGCCTCGCAGGCTGTCCTGGGATGCGGCGCGGTGCTGAGTCAGTTCTGAGCACGAGGAGTGTGAACAACTATTTCCACGGACTCTTGTCTTCCAGGCCTTGGTCTGTACCCTGTACTTTCCTTTCTACTGTGGGACGATCCCCCCTGAATTCAGAGGGGAGGTAAGTGGAGGGGCCCTGCCCTGTGCTCGGTGGCCCCAGGCCCCTGCAGGTGAGAGGTGTGTGGGTGGAGTGCACCGGCCCTCCTTGCGCCCCGACTGTGTGCCCGCCTCCCTCCCCCCTGCTCCCCCTGAGCTCAGAGCATCCTGGGCTGGAACAGACCTCGGGAGGCAGGGGCAGCCAGGGGCAGCCAGGGCGTCGCCGGCTGCAGCCCACTTCTGGAGGGTGGCTCCGAGGTGGCGTGGCCGCAGCCCAGTGTCCTGAGGGCAGCACTGCCCACCCCACCTGCAGCGCTACATCGACGGGGCTCTGAGCAACAACTTGCCCCTCGCGGAGTGCCCCTTTACCATCACCGTGTCGCCCTTCCCCGGGACGGTGGACATCTGTCCCCAGAGCTCCTCGGCCAACTTTCTCGAGTTGAACGCCTTCAACGCCAGCTTCCAGGTCTCCGCCATGAACGTATCCCAGGCAGTCACCTGCCTCCTATTCCCCAGCTCCGAGGTAGGTCTGGCCCCGGCGTCCAGCCTCGAAGGTGTTAGAGACTTAGCCATGATCAAGGGCCCCGTGAGTCAGACTCTGTGCCCCCGAACCCTCCCCACAGCCTCAGGGCAGTTGAGACCCATGTCCCGAGTCTTACAGCCAAGCTCCTGAGCCCACAGCCTAAAGCCCAAGTCGTGCCCTTAACATGGGCAGTGCACTCGCGCCAACCCGCTGAGCCCTCTGGCCGGGCTCTGTGAGAAGGGACTGTTGTTTCCGTTTCTCAGGGCAGGACACCGCAGCTCAGAGAGGGTAAGTGACTGGTTGAAAGTCACACAGCTTAGAAGCTGCAAAGCCAGGTTTCAGCCCCTCCGCTAGCCCAGCGCCGAGCTTCTAACTGCTGCCCTAGACCATCGGTGCAGAGATGAGTCACAGCTCAAAAGAAGACGGACCACAGACCCCTTTTCCTGTCTCTTCGCCCCTTAGCACTTCTGAAAATAGGTAATTTGACAACTCACACTCTATCATCACAACATGCTCCTCCACCCCAACCCCGGCTGGCCCTCTGCTGTTCCTTCAGGGCTGTGGAGAGCTGTAATGTATGAATCAAGTCGGGGGTGTTGCCTGTGATCCTCCCGCGAACGGGGACACGGGCTCAGAAAGGTGGAGTGGCTGACTGAGGTCACACAGCCTGGGAAGGCAGAGCCCCTTCCTGGGCCTGCAGATGCTCTTCCTCCACTCGTGGGCTCTGGTCGAGGTGGACGGGCACGGCCCCAGGGTTCCTCTGTCCTTGCAGGCTGGTCCTGGCAAAGAGGATCAAAGGGCAGAGAGTCCACCATCCATTGACCTACAGGAGCCAGGCAGTGTCCCAGGCTTCCTGGACCAGGGGAGGGGCTGGAGCCAGAGCCCAGCCAGGGCTCGCAGAGGGCAGTGCCGTGGGCGGCAGACTCGTTCCCCCGCGGTCCTGCGTTCCGCCCTGCCCAGGGCTGGCCCCCAGCGTCCTGGAGCCCTGCCAAGGGGTCTCTGGGGGAGTGCAGGCTGGAATCAGTTCCAGTTGAAGACAAATGTCTGCCCTGTGACCGTCAGCTCGGGGGTGGGGGGGGGGTCCAGGCCTCCCTGTCCTACCCTGCCGTCTGTGTTGCAGGTAGTGGCCCACTACTGCAGGCAAGGTTACCTGGATGCCCTGAGGTTCCTGGAGAGACGCGGTAGGTGACAGCCGCCCCTGGAGCTGGGGTTGCATCCCATGGAAGGACCAGGTGGACCCTGCCTCTTGGGCATTTGACGTTTTATGGACCTTGGTTCACTCATTCTCTTCCTCAGTTTCTGCTCTGTGCTTGGCCTAAGCTGGGTGCTGGGGGCCCAGAGAGGACTCCCACATGGGTCCCGTTCTTGAGGTACAGAGAGAGACATATCCTCGGGGACATGAGGGTTGCCAGGGCTGTGGGAGCCCAGAGGAGGCGCCTGATCCAGCCTAGGGCTGGAGTGGGCAAGGAGGGCTTCCTGGAGGCAGTGACAGACAAGTTGGATTTTGTCTAATTAGGGAGACTATGGAAAGGTAGAGCACAAAGGAAGAGGTCTTGTAGTCAGGGAGATGAGCAAGAGCTAGCACCCTGAGGGAACATAACTTCGTGTGGATGCAGGGGTGTGTGTGTGTGTGTGTGTGTTTGTGTGTGTGTTCACGGGGCAGTGGGTGGGCCAGAGTGGGCTCGGATGTCATCCCATAGGGCAAAGCTAGAGCTGAGATCTGAACCCAGGTCGTCTGGTCCCCATACCCACGTCCTCGATGCCCGCACACTATGGCCCCACAAACAGCAGCTAGGAAGCATTTGCTGGCACGTACCCCATGCCCAGACCTAGGCTCGAGTCGGTACTCACCTAACCCTCAGAAAACCGTGCAGAGCAGGTCTTCGTGTCTGCAGAGAGGAACGCGGAGACACGGAGCTGCCGGTCACGTAGCTAACGGGCGTAGAGCCCAGTCTCAACCCCAGACGGGTCCTTGGGATCTGGGCCCTGATTAACCATGCAAAGCCAGCAGGAAATGGAGCAGAGCAGAGTGGGGGGATGTAGGAAGGTGTCACCCCGGGTGAGCCGCGGATTCGCCCCGTGACAGGCGGGTCCTCCGCTGAACCTGGGCACTGAGGGTGCAGACAGTATGGACAGCGCGGGGGGCGGGTCATTGTCACTGGGAGGCTCCGAGATGTGCTGACCGGTCCTATCCCTCCTCTCACCTGATCCAGGACTGACCAAGGAGCCAGTGCTGTGGACATTGGTGTCCAAGGAGCCCCCAGCCCCGGTTGATGGGACCCAGGATACTGGTCATGACAGAGGCCAGAAGGCGGGCCTGTCGTACAACTGGGCAGTGCCCTCCGTGCTGGTGAAGGATGTGCCCAAATTTGAGCAGCTCTCACCGGAGCTGGAGGCTGGTACTGCCCCTTCCTTCCTGCACGTGCTCCCCTGGCGGGTGCCCCGCACTCAGGGGCGTGGGGCCGGGACCCTCCCCGAGATGCTCATGGTCTGGGAGAGGAGAGGAGAGGACTCTTTCTGAGTACCTGCCAAGGCCCAGGCGTGGCGCCACGGGCTCATTCCTCACTCCAGCTGTGGGCCGAGGTGCTTTTTCTCACCTCATGTCAACGATGAGGAAATTGGATCTCAGAGAGGGAAAGAGACTCTCCAAGGTCTCAGAGGCTGCAGCTGGGGGATTCGAACCCAAGGCTGTGCCTGAGAAAGCCAGGTCTTTGCCCATTGTCCAGGAAAGGGCAGGAGGTACTGGGGGACGTAGGAGGGCCACCTGTGGAGGGTCTCGACTCATTTCGTCCTCAACAGTACACGGAGGGGTACTGACTTGTCCCCTTTGTACAGATGTGGAAACCAGAACACAGAGGTGAAGTGACTTACCCAAGGTCACATAGCTAGCAAATGGCAGAACCAGGAGTTCTGCTCTGAACCATTTAGTCTGTGCTCCTGCTCAGTGACCTAAATGTCACAGTTGCAATAACAGGAAAGTACAGGGTCCCACAGACACATGCAGTGGTGCTGGTGGGGGCGAGTTAGAGCAACATCTAAGTGAGACACGAAAGGAGTGGGCCAGGCAAAGAGAGGGGGAAGGCGAGTGTCTAGGCAGAGGGTACAGCATATGCAAATGTCCTAGGGTGGTCTGGGGGCAGAAGATCTGGGGCCCCTGTGGCTGTAACACAGTGGTTGAGGGACAAGGAAGCAGAGATGAGCTTAGGGAGGCTGGGAGGGTTGGGCTGGTGGCTTAGAGGAGAGAAGAGGGACCACTAAAGGGTTTGCTGCTGGGGGCATCCCCTCCTCTTCAGAGTTCACTGGTACTCTGAACTCTAGGCCCAGTGACTGCTGCACCTAGCTTGGGGCGGGGCAGGGGTGGCGGCAGGTTGTAGAGGCAGGAGCTGGGAGGAGAGATGACAGTGGTGAGGCCAGAGCAGGGACAATGAGGTGGGCGGGATGGTGGGGGGGGAGGGTGCCTCTTTCAGCACTGGAGACCACACAGGGGGTGCAGAAATGGGCTCTGAAGTGTGCTGAGCCCCTGGTACAAGCTTGGCACTGGAATTCTGACAGCATCTCTGCAGCCACATGGGGGCACCAGAGAGCCACCTCTTTGATGAGGCAGCACCACCACCAGCTCAGTGTGGGGAGGGGTAACCTAGGCTTGGGGAAGGGAAGGGAGGAGTCTCTGGACACACAGTAGGAGCTCCGTCTTCAGACTGTGCTGTGTGTGAACCGTCCCCTGAGTCAAGGTGGGGGTGTGTGCGTGGCTGTGCCGTGATCTGGGGTGGGGATTTGGGCTCTGGCTTTGCCCCCAGCCAGGATGCAAGTGTCTTCCACTCTGGTCAATTAAGGGGATAGAGGACTTGGAAAATGGTCGTTATGGTCCAGCTGCTGCCACAGCTGTGGTTAATAATGCCGATGTGTTACTGTTATCAGGGGAGGTGTGGACACCTGTCCCATCTTAGGCGGCCACAGCAGACTTTCCAGAGGGGTGGGAAGGGGTGGAAAGGGCTCTACGAAGGAGGCCTTGGGTCCATCCTGGCCCTGCCACTTCCTGGCAACACTCTTCGGGCAAATCATTTCTCCACTCTGAACCTCTGTCTCCTTTTCTGGGAAAGGGGCACACTGCTCATTTCAGGGACTGTAATGAGAGATCTCCAGCTGTGGGCCTGGCCCCCTGCTGGCTCACTGGGGGCTTGCTCTGTGCTGTTTCTTCCTCTGCAGAAGGAGGTGGGCCCAGTCCTTGGACTGTGTAAGGGAGAGAGGGAGCTGGCTGGAGGGGGGTAGGCATGCTACGGCTTCTCTTGTAGCACTGAAGAAAGAGTGTATGAGGGACCCCAGGCCCTGGGCCCGCTTCTGCCGGTCGAAGCCTGGGAAAGTGCTGACGTACCTGCTGCTGCCCTACATGCTGCCCTTCGAGTACGTCTACTACCGGAGCCGAAGGTGAGGCCTGGCCAGGGCAGGGAAGGTGGCTGGCACACCGGTGGGCGGAGTCTGGCTGGTCTTGGCTGAATGACTCAGGGGTCTGGGGGAACTGATGGGGAGGCGGTGTTGCAGCTGTGGTCAAGAGGGGGCCTCCTGGTCAATGCCCGCCCCCATCTCTAGGACCTTTGGTCCATTGCTCCAGTTGTCAGAGCCTTGGAGACCTTGTACTGTTTTTGAAAATGACTCTAGGGGCTGGTCTGGCTCAGATTTGCTGTGTGACCCGGGCCAGGTCTCGTGACCTTTCTGGGCCTCAGATTCCTTTTCTGTAAAACAGGGCTCTTCCATGGCAGACCGGCTGTAGCTAAGCCCTCCTAACCATTCTAACCCTGCTGACTAATGGACCACTCTGCATTGTTCGTTTATCTAGTAATAGAATGGAGGCTAGGGAGGCGGCACTGACCCAGACCTTCTGGAGTCTGACGGCCCAGGTCATTGCACAGTCACCTGTGCAGTTACTGCTCTGCCTAGAGATACCTAGCGAGGTGTACACTGGCTGTGAACCGGATGGCTCTCACTAGGGGCCATCTAGTCAGGGAGGGCTGCCTGGAGGAGATAACTTTTGAGCTATAACCTGAAGGATGAATGAACCCACTAAGCAAAGAAGAAAGGGAGAAGCATTTCAGATAGATGGAACAGCATGTGCAAAGATCCTGGGGCAGAAGGGAGTAAGGCTTGTCCGAGGAGCAGAAATGGAGGCCAGTGTGGCTGGAGCCGAAATGTGGAGTGCTCTCCAAGATGGGGCTGGGAGGCTGGCAGGGGCTAGACACACAGGGCCACGTGAGGAGTGTGCAGTTTGTCCCGCAGTGGTGCAAAGGCAGCAAAGTGCGACACTGGTGTCATATGAGATCCAAATTTTAAAAAACTCTATTCCCTAGAAGAAGGTTGATGAAATGGGTCACAGGTCTGTGTCCTGCTCCATGTTGAGTTAATGGCTGGGCCAGTCCTGCCCTTTAAATTGCTGGTGACCCCGAGTTGGGAGAGATTTCTTTTTTTTTTTTTTTTGGTACATGCCCCTAGCGGGAACCGAACCCTGGACTCTCTGGTCCACAGGCCGACGCTCCAACCACTGAGCCAAACCGGCCAGGGCAGGGAGAGAATTTTCTGCTGATTGACCCTCGTGCTGAGCTGTTAGACTCAAACCACAGGTTGAAATACAAAAGGATAAAGGCAAGTTCTCGCCTTTTCAAAAAGTCTACATATGAGCAGTGATGGGGAGGTCTGCCCTGACTATCGGGAAATTCATACTTGGTATTTTCTGTAAGCTACATGTGGTTGTAATAATAGAAGCAGAAGCCCCAGAACAAGGGAGGTGACAGTCCGGCGTTCGGTTTGCTTGTCACAGTACACTCGAACTAGCTGCCCATTCTGAGGCCCTGGGTTAGAGGCCCCCTTAAGGGCAATGTGGTGGGGAGGTGCCCGGCCAAGCTCTTTGTCCACCACGGCTGGCTGACAGGCCCTCTGCTGATGCTGTTGCGCTCATGTGGGAAGCACAGGCGGGCTTGGGCAAGAGAGGGCTCTGGTGGGCTGCATGTCTCAGGATGGTCACTGGTTGCTTGGAGTGCGGAGTGGGGAGCTGGTCTGGGGAGCAGAGAGGGGGTGCAGACATGGGGGTGGTTAGGAACCACAGGCAAGGTAACTGTCCTTATTTGGCAGGCGAGAATACTGAGGCAGAGGGTTCCCAGGTCACAGGGCTGATAAGCAGTGGGGCTGGGTTGCACCCCAAGCCAGCCTGACTCCAATGCCCTGCACTTTCTTCCCCTGTGTTTTCCCGTGTGCCCTGTGGAGAGGACCCTCAGGGCCTGGCCACACCCACCAAGTTCGTGTTCCTCGTTTCATCCCCAGCTCCTCACTCCCCTGCAGGTGCCCTTATGGCTCTGAGCTGCTCCGTAATGGAGCCAATACCTCTGGATGCTTCTTACCCCCACCCTTTCCTTTAGCCCTGGTGTCTCAGGTGCAGGGACCCCTGACTCCGCTCTGGGCCCGGGGCAGGGTGGGCTCAGCGGGGCCAATGCTCGGGTGAAGCGGTTGCTGTCCCTTCCTCCAGGCTGGTAGCGTGGCTGCCGGATGTGCCGGCGGACTTGTGGTGGATGCAGGGCATGCTGAGGAGCTTGGCCCTTGGGGTGTATTCCAGGACAAAGGACCAGCTCCTTGGACGCAGGTGAGGCGGGCAGACGGGCTGGGCTGGAGCGGAGAGACTCTGGGGTGGGGGAGCCCCAGCTGTTCCCCTGGACCCTGGGCAGGCAGTCCACACCATCCGTGCTGGGCCTGGAGAGGTGCTGACCAGTCACACTGGCCAGTCTGCAGGACCCTCGGGGCAGTCACCGTGTCCCCCCGAGCCCACAGAGGACCGTCGATCTTCCTGCTCTGCCAGATCCCTGTCAGTCCTGACATCTCTCCAGATGTTCCACAGGCCCCGCTGCTGGGAGACCCCGCAGTCCTCCCGCACCCCCTCCACTGGCATCTGTTCCCAAGGACACCCGTGCAGCCCTCCCAGAAAGGGGCGGTCCTGGAAACTTCCTGTTCCCACTCCACCGAAAAAGGGCCTTAGTCCTTCCTCCCTCATTGCAGGATTTGGGGGGAGCGTGACCTGGGGCAGGCTACCCCGAAGGGCTTTTCCCTGCCCATCACCCATGCCCAGGCTGACAACTTGCTCTCACTGGCTTCTGCTTCCTCCACAGCCCACCGGTCAGCAGCCCCCTCCAGCCTGAGGCAGCTCCTCCCGCCGACCTGGCCAAGAAGCCCACCCTGCCCATGAGGCCTGAGGGGCACCAAGCTGGGCCAGCCCAGTGACTGGCCTCTCCTGAGCCACCTTGGTCCTTGTCCTGTGTGCCCACATCTGCTCCTTGAATGAGGCCTGGATTTGACTCAACTTCCAGAGCTCAGCGCCCAGCCCCTGGCCCAAGGTGGGCATTGGAATTGTTGGCCAAGCGGAGGACCAAGGGGCAGCCCCCCTCTCCCCTCTCAGCTCTTGCCCCAGACTGCGTGGGCAGAGCGAGCCCCACCAGGCCCCCTGGAGCCCCTGCTCCTCGGAGCGTCTCCTGGGGCCTCGTAGGTATGTCCTGGGTCACTGTGTGCCCAGGTCACCCCGCCCCATCTCATCAGAGGGAGAAAGGAAGGCAGGAGCTGACATACACCCCAGTTCTACACCCTTTGCGGCATCGGGCGGCCCTGCTGGGGGGGGCATGGCGGGGTTGCTGGCAGAGTGCTTCAGAAGATGGACAGCGAATGGGGTGGTGGGGTGCTGTGCCTCCCCTCAGATCCTTTCTCTGTCCTGCACCAGCCCTTGGGGTGCCCCTCAGGCTCTGTTTGCTCCAGCAACCTGGATCTCTGACATCCTACGGGGCCCACCCAGCGAGTGCCCAGAGCCCCGAGAGAGGTGAGAGCTGAGAGGAGAGAGGTTAAAGGGATTAAAATCTTCCAGGATCCCAGCTGCATGTGCTTCTGTTGGGGCGCCCACCGGCTGAGCAATTCCCCATTCCACAAGAAGGTTGATGGTACCTCCCCCCCTCCCACTTCCCCTTTGTCTCTTGGGTAGAGAGGATGCTGCAACGTCAGACCTTTTCTGGCCTCTCCTGGGAGTCACTGCTCTTTCTGTTTTCAGAGCAGAACCTACTTTGTACCCCGGGCCAGGCCCTTGCAGATGCTTACATGGCTCAGCTGACAAAGCGGGAAGTGATCCGGGTCAGAGTTCCCTGACTCGTCACCTCTATGCCTCCTGACACAGAGCCCTGAGGTGTCAGAGTGGGGAGGAGAGATTCTGGGCCCTGAATTCAGGTATACCTGGGTTCGAGTCCCATCTCTGCGACTCAGCATTGATGTGACCAGAGAAATCCCCTACCTGTTTTCCCCTGTATAGAATGGAGACCACAACACATACGTCATAGAATATTAATTTGAGAAAATTAAACACTCCTTGCAGACTACATCATACAGGAAGGACTACCGCTCAGAAAGGGGAGTGGACAGTGATTGGGTCGCGATGAGTGTGAAGCTGGAGGCCTCTCTGGTCTCTGCACCATGGCCTCCCAGAAGCTGTGCTAAAGGGGTCCACCACCCTCCTCTTCCTCCCAGTGTCCCAGCCAAGGATCTCTCCCGGCCCTGAAGCCCTGGCACAGCTGTGACTCCCGTCCTATTTTTTTTTTTGTCAATCCTCACCTGAGGATATTTTACTCACTGATTTTTAGAGAGAGTGGAAGGGAGGGGGGGGATGGAGAGAGAGAAAAAAGAAACATTGATGTGAGAGAGTCACATTGATTGGTTGCCTCCTGCATGAGCTCCAGCTGGGGTTGGGACTAGAATCTGAAACCCAGGTATGTGCCCTTGACCCGGAATCAACCCAAGACTCTTCGGTGCACGGGCTGACTCTCTAACCACTGAGTCACACCGGCCAGAGCTGTGACTCCCATTTCTGGGCCTCATTATTGGCTGGGTGTGTCCTGATGCCTGAGGCAGATCCCTGCTCCAAGTTCCTGTGCCTCTTGCTGCTCCTGAGGAGGTAATAGGGAATCTGACTCACAAGTGCACAGCACTTTAAAGTTTACAAAGCCCATCATCTCACTTAATTCTCACAGCAACTCTGGGAAGTAGGCATTATTCGCCTCAGTTTATGGATGAGGAAACTGAGGCGCGGAGGGGTTCTGTTCGTTGCGAAGAGGTAGAGCTGGAAGTGCCCAGGCTGTGGCAGGGAGCAGAAAGACCCCTAGACCATCACGGGGTTCACCGCGCACCTGCTCTAGGACACTGGGGAAGTTCTTTCCTTGATCAAGTCCTCGTTTCCTGTCTGTGAAATCAGGGGTTGGGCTCGCTGGTGTCTAAGGGGCCTCCAGCTCTGCTCTGAGCCCGTGACATAAACAATACCCTGTGGTCAGATGCAGGCGAGGTGATTTCAGGAAGGAGTAGCCACAGAGGGATGGGTTGCTAACTGGGTCTTTCCGGAAGCCTAGACTTTGGGGGGGGAGGTGAGGAAAGGGGGTGAGAATTGAAACATGAATTGCTAACACGACACTGGGTGATGAGCCCATAGAAGTTCATGATACCATTCTCTCTAATTTTATACGTGTTTGATGTTTCTATGATAAATGAATACTTAACCTTAAAACTTTGATAGTACATACAACCAGAAAAATAGGCACCAAGAGAGCACATAAAACAAAGCAAAAACGGCCACCAGCAGTTGCGGCTTCCCAGAGTCACCCGTGGGGAAGGGCAGTAGGATCTGGTGCGCTGTACGTTTCAGCACCGCGGACAGCGACCCGCGGCCGTCTTTCTGCCGCTCCGGCTGCCTTAGGGGAGAATTTCCGGATCCACGTTATTCGCAAGAGTCTCTTCAGCACCAAAGGTTATCCAGCCTCTTACACCCCTCCAGAGATGGGGCGTTGATATCCACTGGGCAGATCAGGCCTTGGATAGTTTTGTTTCATAAGAAGCTTCTATTTTCTGTCCTTTAAGGATATCTTTGTCAAAAAACGAGTGATCATATATGTGTGTGCCTACGTTCTGGGCTCTCAATTCTATTCCATTAGGCCGTATGTCTAAGCTTATGCCAGTATCACCCTGTCTTGATATATAGCTTTAAGGCAAATAGCTTTATCATGAGTCTTGAAATCAGGCAGTGTGAGCCTCTCAGCCGTTCTTTTTCAAAACTGTTTGGACTGTTCTCGGTTCTGTGCTTTTCTATATGGGTTTTAGAAGCAGCTTGTTAAGTTTTACAAAAGAGCCCACTGGGATTTTGCTTGGAATTGCATAGACTCTACAGACGAACTTGAGGAGAATGGGACCCCCAACAATGTTGAGTGTTCTGATCCACAAACAGGATATATGTCTCCATTTCTGTAGGTGTTCTTTAATTTCTCTCAATGTTTTGTAGCTTTTGCATATCTTTTCTTAGATTTATTCCTAAGCATTTAATGTTCTTTGATGCTATTGCAAATGGTATCTTCAATTTCCAATTGTTTGTTGCTTGTATGTAGAAATAGAATTGATTTTTAGTCCTGGCCAGTTTGGCTCAGCAGTTAGAGCGTCAGCACGCGGACCAGAGTCCTGGCTTCAGTTTCCGCTAAGGGCATGTACCTCAGTTGCAGTTTGTCCCTGGCCCCAGTTGGGGTTGGCAGCAACTCGATGTGTCTCTGTCACATTGATGTTTTTCTTTCTTCCCCCTAACTTCCTCTCACTCTACCTGAAGATAAGTGCAAAAATGTCCTCAGGTAAGGATAAAAAAATAAAAATAAAAAAAAAGAATTGATTTTTATTTGTAGGCCTTCTATCCTGCAATCTTGCTAAATTCGCCTATTAATCCCAGTAGCCATTTTGGTAGAGACCTCAGGATTTTCACACACAGGTTTTTCTTTAGATTTTTATTCTGGGAAAAAAAAAATTAACCCTATAGGACAGGTATTAGAAGACATACAACTGTGGTAGGCAGAATAACACACATCCTCCCACCCCCCCCAAAAGATGTCTATGTCCTGGTCCCCAGGACCTCTGCCTATGTTGTTACATGTGAAAGGGATTTAAGGTTGCAGATAGAATTAAGGTGACTTATCAGCTGACCTTAAAATAAGGAGATGGCCCTAGATTACTGGATGGGCCCAATATCATTACAAGGGTCCTTAAAAGTGGAAGAGGGCGGCAGGAGAAGAGTTGGCATCAGAGTGATGTGATGTGAGAGAGACGAGAGCAGCCATTGCTGGCTTTGAAGGCGGAGGAAGGAGCTGAAGCCAAGGAATGTGGGGCTGGCAAAGGCAAGGAAATGGATTCATCCCAAGAGCCTTCAGAAGGGAATGAAGCTTTGCCGACACTTGCTTTTTTTAGCCTTGTGATACCCACATAAGGCTTCTGACCATCAGAACTGTAAAATAATTTGTGTTGTTTTAAGCCACTGAGTTCGTGATAATTTGTTACAGCGACCACAGAAAATGAAAACAGCCAAGAACATACACCATCACCTGCGTTCACCCACTGTGGCATCTGCCACAGTTTCTCTCTAATGGATATATACACATTAGAGATATACACATTATGATCGTGTTTTTCCTAGAACTGTTCGAAATTGTAGACATCGTGATTCTACACCCCCAAACACTTCAGCATGTACCTCCAAAAAACAAAAGAACATAACTTACGTAGCCATAGTACAGTTTAAAATTCATGAAATTTAAAAGTATTACAATATTACTAACTAATATAGAATCCATGTTCCTATGTTGCAAATTGTCCCAGTGATGTCCTTTGTGGCTTTGTTCCATGATCTGGTATCCAACCCAGAGCCACACATTGATGTAGTTTGTAAGATCCCTTTGCTCGTCTGTAATGTAGAACAGTTCTCTCCATTGTTTGTTTTTTATGACATTGGCGTGTTTGAAGAATAGAGGTCGGCTGTGTTACAGACTGTCCCTTGGCTTAGGCTCCATATTCTTTCCTCATTATTTGATGAATTTTTGGTAAGAAAAACATGTAAATGATTCTGTGTTCTTCTCAGTCCATCACACCAGAAGCACAGGTGTTAGTTTGCCATGTTGTTGGTGATGCTTATTTATTTATTTGTTAATCCTCACCCAAGGATATTTTCCCATTGATTTTTTAGATAGAATAGAAGGGAGAGAGAGAAACATCAATGTGAGGGAGACACATCAATTGGTTGCCTCCAGCACGACCCTGACAGAGGCCGGGGTTCAGACCTGCAACCCAGGTTCATGCCCTTGACTGGGAATCAAACCTGCCACCCTTCAGTCCACAGACTGATGCTCTAACCACTGAGCAAAACAGGCCAGAGTGTGATGCTTATTTTGATTACTTGGTTAAGATGGTTTCTGCCAGCCCTGGCTGGCTTTGATCAGCGGTTAGAGCGTTGGCCCACAGACCAAAGAGTTGTGGGTTCGATTCCTGTCAAGGGCACTTACCTCAGTTGTGGTTTGTCCCAGCCCTGGTCGGGGTCATGTGGGAGGCAACCAGTTGATGTGTCTCTCTCAAATCGATGTTTCCTTCCTTCTCTCTCCCTCTCTCTGAAGAAAAATGGAAAAATATCCTTGAGTGAGGATTAAAAAAAAAAAGATGGTGTCTGCCAGATTTCTCCACTAAAAAGTTATCTTTTTTTCTTTCTAATTGATCAGTAATCTATGGGTAGATGCACTGAGACTGAAAACACAATTTCCTCCAACAAATCTTTACCCCATGATGGCATTAATGTCAAATGATATGACTACAAAATGATGATTTTATAACTCTGTCATTCCCTCTATGCATATTAGTTGTCATTTTACTGGGAAGAGGAATGTTCTCTTCTCTCATCCATCCATCCATCCATCCATCCATCCATCCATCCATCCATTCAGTTTTCTTAGTTTCAGTACAGAATTGTGGGGTCTTTCCACCAGCCCTTCCTAAATCATTTAAAAATATACCCGTTTAAAATATTTTCAATTTGGTGTAAATACATACATACATACACACACAGAAAATGATCATTTAAGTGAAATGTCCATACACAAATCTTAAGTGTATACCTCAAAAAACTTTATACATAGACATCTATGCAGAATAAAATTTGTGGGTCCTCATGCAAGATTAAAATGTAGTTCAAAAAGGGAGAAAAAAGCCATTAAAGGTACTAAAATATCTTTCACAATCTCTCGACCTGTCATGGTGTTTTTTGTTTGCTATTTGAAGTCGCGCTCTCCAACACTGGGATACTCCTGCAGACACCCACAAAAGCTTGAGGAACCTGTGCCATGACTCTGAGGCTGCCGGTCTCCTCCTATCAGCTGTGGGCCCCACACACCACGTCCTGGCTGGGAGTGGGAACTCAGGCCAAGCATCTTCCCTTTCCACAGGCCTGCTGCCCCAAGGCTGTTGCAACTTCCACACGGATGGGTACCTGAATTGGGGGTGGGAGAGGCTCCCCTTTGCTGGTTCACCCACCAAATGCCCTGGGGTGCTGCCAGTCTAGGGCAAAGACAACAGCAATGGCTCTGGTCATGCCCCACTCTGAGATGCCATGGGGTGTGCGCATGGGACTTGATCCTCTTCAGGTTCCTTGGTCCCTGGGTAGGGGTGAGGAGAGAGGTTGGGCAGGGCTGGGACCCTAGAGGACAGAAGAACGGGCAGTGAGGAACTTGTCCTGAGAAGGCGGCAGTGGGTGAAACCGCTTGTGGGCTGAGGCTCCATGTCCCAGCACATGTTCCATTAGCTCATCAGACTTCACATGAGCACAAGTTTAAACAAAAGTATTAAGAATTTCAAGATGGTGACCACACAGCATTAAACCCCAAGTGTAGGGCCTTTCTGAACACAGGGTCCTGTAGCACTCTCCTAGCTGCACAACCAGGAAGCAGACCCTACAGCTCCATCATCTGCCTGTCCGTCTATCTGTCTGTCTGTCTATCTATCTATCTATCTATCTATCTATCTATCTACCTACCTACCTACTATCTATCTATCATCTATCAATATCTCCATATCCATATCTATATCATTCTATGTATCTACTCTATATCATTCTATGTGTCTACTTCTATCTATACTATGTTTATATCATCATGTAACCATCACTGAGAGCAAGATAGTGCTTCCAACACTCTAGAGGGCACTCTTGTGTTTATTCCCATCCAGACCTCCCTCTGACCCAAATTAAGCACCTTTCTAGTCTCTGTCACCATGGATTAGTTTTGCTTGTCCTTGAACTGTATATGAACAAAATCATATGGCCTTTTGTATTTGGCTTCTTTTGTTCATCATTTCCTTTAATTCTCATCGGAGGATATTTTTTCATTTATCTTCAGATAGAGTGGGAGGGAGGGAGGAAGGGAGGGAGAGAGAGAGGGGGAGAGAGAGAGAGAGAGAGAGAAATATCGATGTGAGAGACACATTGATTGGTTGCAAGACTCTGACCAGGGCCGGGGACTGAACCTCAACCAAGGTACCTGCCCTTGACCAGAATTGAATCCACTGCTCTTTAGTCCAAGTGCCGGCACTCTAACCGCTAAGCCAAAACAGCCAGGGCTTATTCATCCTTTTTTTTTTCTTTATTGATTTTAGAGAGAGAGGGAGAGGGAGAGAGGGAGAGAGAAACATCGATGAAAGAGGACATAGATTGGTCCTGCATGCCCCCCACTGGGGATTTGGCCCACAGCCTGGGCATGTGCCCTGACTGGGAATTGAACCAGCAACCTCTTGGTGCATGGGTCGACGCTCAACCACTGAGCCACACTGGCTGGGCTTGTTCATCATTTTGATTTCGAAGTTCACCTGTGTTGTTGCATATACTAGTAATTTTTTTTTTAATCGCTGAGCAGTAAGTATTCCATTTTATACATATATCTACTCTACTGTTGATGGACTTTTGAGTTGTTTCTAATTTTTGTCTAATGTGTAAATTGACCCTAATTTGGCCTTTCAAGTTAGCTCCTATGTACCTTTGACCTATCTCTATCATTTTAAAAAACACTTTCTTATTTTTTGGCCCACCAAAAAGTTTTAGGCTCATCTTGTACTTTCTTTGCCCAGACTGGGAATTGACCTTTCCTTTTTTTTTTTTTTTATCCTCACCCAAGGACATTTTTCCATTTTTTGTACAGATAGAGTGGGAGGGGGAGAGAGAGAGAAACATCGACGTGAAAGGGGCACATTGAGTGGTTGCCACCCGCACGACCCAACCAGAGCCGGGGACAAACTGCAACCAAGGTACGTGCCCTTAGTGGGAACCGAACCCGGGTCTCTCTGGACCGCAGGCCGACGCTCTAACCGCTGAGTCAAACCGGCCAGGGCGGAATTGACCTTTTCTTCAAGAAACCCTGGCTCCTTCTTGTAGGGAAGTATCTGGAAACCAAGATCTGGGCACGGGGTGTGTCTAGTATTACTGGAATCCCAGAACCTAACGGCCTTGTCAGCATAATAAAAAATAGATATTTTTAAAAATAATAAACACACTAATACCTCAGGTTTCAATCCAATGCCACACCTTCTTCCACAGTGAGAACCCTCATGGGAAGCATCAGCCATTCATTCATTTGCTCAATTTCTGCAGCTCTTGGCTAGCTGCCTGTGTGTGATGCCTAATTGTTCTTCACCATGTCTTGGGAGCTTGGGATGTCCTCTTTCGATTTTGAAGACATCCATAAGCCTCCTGAGTCAGGGTTAACGGCTCTCTTCCCTCTCTGTGTCCCCCTGTGCACATGCACTTTTAGCCATTTGCGTGTCCCCTTTGCCAGACTGCAAGTATCTCAGTCTAGAGCAAGAAGGAGAGGCCCTAGTTGGGTAGCTCGGTTAGTTAGAGCTACCGAGGGTGTTGGTTTGATCCCTGGTCAGGACACATGTAAGAATTAGCCAATGAATGCACAAATAAGTGGAACAACAAACTTATGTTTCTCTCTTTTCCTCTCTCTCTCTCAAAATCCATTTTTAAAAGAAGTAAAGAGCAAGAAGGAGAGCGAGCGAGCAGGTCCTGCCCCCCTGCTGTGCTCCGGCTTCTTGCCCTGTAGTTACCTGGGTCCTTCCTCCTGGCTGCAGCACCGAGGAGCAGAGACTGCCATTCCCTTCCCCGCGGAGGGCGCGGAGCCGCAGACAATCAGAGCAGAACTTCACTGTTTTCATCTTCCGTTCCCCCAGCCCCAGGCATGCAGTAGGTGCTTAACATATACTTGTTGAAACCTCTTTAGAATCCCGTTGTTCTCAAACTGTAGTCTGCACAAGAAGTTCCTTATTAAAGGCAGATTTGGGGACGCTATTGGAGAGCGTGTCTTTTTAGGTCTGGGGTTGGTCCTGGAAAACCGCCGTGAACCCACCAGCCCTCCGCCCCTGGGCTCCGAAGCACGTGCTCACGCCTTGAAATGACCTGGTGATGCACGAATGGAAGCCCGCGGCGGGCGAGGAAGCCGGGCCAGCGCCTGGTGCAGATCCGACGCTTCCCAGCTGGGTATTGAAGGAGCGAAGGGTCTTTAAGGTCGCCTGTAGCTGGAGCATTTCACGAGTCTGTATTGAGCTCTGGCCGAAGGGCTGACTCAATGGTGGATGAGTGAACGTGGTGGAGGGGATGATGGGGGAGACGGGATGCGGCCTGCGGGCTGGGGGCAGGGGGGCAGGGGGACAGGGGGGCCACGGGACAGGGAGGCAGGGGGGCAGGGGGACAGGGAGGCAGGGGGACAGGGGGGCAAAGGGGCAGGGGGGCAGAGGAACAAGGGGGCCGGGGGACAGGGAGGCCGGGGGGCCGGGGGACAGGGAGGCCGGGGGGGGGCAGGGGGGCAGGGGGGCAGGGGGGCCTCGGGACAGGGAGGCAGGGGGGCCGGGGGACACGGGGGCAGGGGCCAGGGGGGCCGGGGGGCAGGGGCGCAGAGGGGCAGGTGGGCAGGGGAAAGTGGGGCAGGGAGGCCGGGGGGCAGGGGGCAGGGGGCAGGGGTCTGCTGCGGTCCCCGCTGCGGGTGGGTACAAGCGGCCAGGTGCGGGGAGGGGCGGCCCTGGGGCCTCATGACGTCGCGTCTGCGGAGAAAAGGCGGTGCGGCGGGCGGGGCCATGACGTCATACCGGCGGGGCGCAGTCCACGCCGCTGGGGCGAGGCGGCGCCGTGACGTCACGCCTGCGGAGCGCCGCGGCTGGGCGGGCGTGGGCGCGTGCGGTGCGGTGCGGTGCGGGCGCGGGCGCGGGGCGGCGCGGCTCGGGGCCGGGGCGGCGGCGGCATGGCGGAGAGCGAGGCCGAGACCCCCAGCACCCCGGGCGAGTTCGAGAGCAAGTACTTCGAGTTCCACGGCGTGCGGCTGCCGCCCTTCTGCCGCGGGAAGATGGAGGAGATCGCCAACTTCCCGGTGCGGCCCAGCGACGTGTGGATCGTCACCTACCCCAAGTCCGGTGAGCCGCGCGCCCCCGCCCGCCCGCCCCGGGCCCGGACCCCGCAGGGCGGGACGCGGTGGTCGGCCCGCATCTGGAGAGACTGCGGTCGGAGACCCTCGGGGGTGGGCCCAGGTGTCCATGGCTGGAGGCTGGACAGCGTCCGGGGGTAGGGAGCCCAGGGCCACCGCTGCTCCCCGCTTCCCCTTCCCTCACCCTGCTGGCTGTGTGACCTTGGACAGCCACTTAACCTCTCTGTTCCTGGATCCAGTTCAGCCCTTGATGAGTGCAAAGCTCCGGCGACCATCAGGGAAGGGGGATAAAACGGGCGTGGGGATTGGGGACGTTCCTCCTTTCCTGCGTGGACTCCCAGTGGGGGATGGGACCATCCACGTCCAGAGTGTGTGCTGGTGTTCCCTTGCTTCAGGGTGGCCTCCATCAGCCAGGTATGGAGCCGGACCCGGGGGCACCCGCATCTCCCGGCAGTAACTGGTCATTTGCATGACAATCCATTCGCAGTCTGGGCACTGAGGCTCCGGGAGAGGAAGTGGCTTGCCCAAGGTCACCCAGCTGAGTGGCGGAGCTGGAACTGAAGGCCAGGCCAGTCTGTGTCCAGGACCTGATGTGAGGGCTCCTCCTGCGGTGCCCCTTGTGAGGTCTGTAGGGAGAGAGGCGGCTGTCTTGTTCTTTGAACAGACCTCCAGGGTTCCCTTGTTGCCACTGTATTGGAGGGGGAGGGAGATGCCGGGGTCCAGACTGTGCAGCGCCCTCAGCCTGCTGGAGCAGGCCATGTGGGACCAACAAGGAGGGAGGCGGCCAGAAGAACTGGAGCTTGGCTGTTCTAGCGGTGCAGCCCCAGACACCCAAGGGCTAGGCCCAGTTGCTCCGAGCAAGGTTAGAGAAGGGGCTGTCAGTGGAGGGTTGTGGAGCCGTGTTGGTGGGGGGACTTGGAGAAGTCTGGAGGTACTGCCAGCTGCCCTTGGGGAGAGGGGAATGTGCCATTGCTGTGGCCAGGGCCTTCCGCTGAAGCCCACTGCCCCTCCCCCAACCCCATGGGTTCGATGTGGAACTTTTCAGGTTTTAGAGCCACAGATGCTGCCTGTGCTGTAAGACCTCCAGCCTGAACCGCCTCGGTAAGTGGGGTCCATTAGGACTAAAAGTAGCCTCACGTCAGTTTAGGACAGGGTTTGCCTCCAAGTGAATTGTGAAAAACTTGGTTTGGGGAGTTCTCTGGGATTTTGGAGCTGCCAGTAAGGGACTTTGGTGCTGTGTTGCTACCTCCATTTTATGGTGAGGAGATGGAGGGAGAAGCAGCTGGCAGGGGTGGAGGAGGCACAGCCTGGAGCTCATTTGCAGAGCTGTGTACTGGGGGCTGGTGGGGGGCTTCAGACGGGCCCCGCCTGGGGGCCCTGGCGGCAGAAACCTTTCCGGTACCTGGATGGGGAATGAGGTGTTGGTTTAAGGACGTTTTCTAAATAATCCAAACTCACATCTTGTTTGTAACTGGACTCGTTCAAAGCAGACAAGAGCACACTCTTTTATAAGAGGGTAAACACGTGGCTCTTCCCCTTGGTGACAGAAAATCCAGCGGTGGCCTCAAGACCCTTGGGTGAGGTCCCTTCACACAGAGCCCTAGAGAGCTTCCCTCGCAAAACGTAAACTTTCCCTCAGCCCTTATGGCCTTTCCAGACTCTTACTGCTTCTCCATCTGCGCCCTGCCTGCTTCTTTTACCGTTCGTACCCGAGGCTTGGGCACCATGCAGACCACCTGTTAGAACTGTGCAAGCCAGGAGTGCACGGCATCAACCTCCCACGCTCCCAGCTTCGAAGCGCACGGAGTCCCGCGAGCCTGTTGTCCCAGCCCATTGTCCAGAGCTCAGTGAGGCAGCACAGAGTCGGCTCCCGTGTCCCGGTGGGGAGACAGGCTCTGGGAGGCGCAGTGCCCAAGCTCGTGTGGCTGGACCAAGGCTGAGTCGAGGTGTCTGAGAATCTGGGAACGAAGAAGCAGACTCATGGGTGTTGTGAAAGCCAGTATTTTCTGTTTCTTTTCTTTTTTTTATATATGTTTCTATTGATTTGGAGAGAGAGAGGAAGGAGAGTTGGAGAGAGAGAAACATCAACGAGAGAGAAACATGGATCAGCTGCCTCCTGCATGCCCCCTGCTGGGAATTGAGCCCCCAACCCAGGCACGTGTCCTGATCGGGAATTGAACCAGCGACCTTTTGGTGCATGGGATGACATTCAAGCAACTGAGCCACACCGGCCAGGGCTTCTGTTTCTTTTTTGCTCTCTTCCTGGTTCTTCACCTCGTCCCCGTCCATCTTTCTCATGCCCCCGGGGATGCCTGGGATGGCGGGGTACGTGGTTTCCTTGGGAACGGTGCTGCTGGCTGCAGAGCTGTCCTCCCGAAGGTTCCCCTCTCCCTTCCCCGCCTGGACTGTTCAGTACGTGCAGTGATCACGGGGCCTGAAGAACTGGCCCCCCAAATCTGCCCTGAAGATTTCTCCTCAACCAGAGAACAGGGCACCTGCCGGCCAGTCTGCCTCAGTGGCACTGGAGCAGCAGGGGGAGCTGGTCTGGGGCGGCCTCTGGGTTCTGCAAGTGGCTGCCCTGGGTGAGTCAGAGCTTGTTGTGAACTGCACAGTCTCCAGTGCAGCTCCCGCTCCTGGGTCCTTTGCAGGGCTGTTACTTGGAACACAGGCCAGTCGCAGTTTGGAATGGGATCTGGACCACGTTAGGGAGGGTTAGTCGGCCACTTACCGAGTCCTGTGTGCCAGGTGTTCTGCCCTGTTCGAAACTCTCTTGCCTCTTTTCAGAGGCTCCGAGGCCCCGCCCCTCTCTTGCTGGTGCCTTGTTGCCTTTGGAAAGTCCCTAGGGCAGCCAGACTCAAGTCCCAAGGAGGGCGGGGCACGCCTTCCCCCGTGGGCCTTACAACTGGAAGTCTAAGGCCACTTAGGGACTTTCAGGTTTTTGTCACTGCTCTGCGTCCTCTGCAGGTGGACTTAGGTAACTCAGTTCATACTGCCTTTCCCTTTCCTTCCCTCCCTCCCCTCCCTCCCTCCCCTCCCCCACCAGGGGTGGGTCTGTAGGAGGCACCCGTGCGGAGAGATTAAGAGCCTGGCTTTGGAGCGGGAAGTCCTGGATTTGAAGGTAGCTTTGCTCCTTGCCACCTGGGTGACTTTGGCAAATGACATAACTCCTGGGAGCTGTGGTTTCTGCAGGGGGAGGAGAGCCCAGCTCACTGCCGTGGTGGGTGGCTGAGGATCAGTGATGAGCGAGGGCTCCTCCGGGTGTCAGATCTATAGTAAGCACAAGGAGTCTGCGGCATATTATCTGATTAAAAGTTGCTGTAGTTCTTTGGTCCTCTGTGGAATAGATGTTTTTTTCTCTCTGGCTGCTTTCAAGGTTTTCTCTTTCTCTTTTGTTTTCAGCACTTAATGATATGTGTAGGTATATTTTTGTCTTGCTTGAGTTTTTCTGAACCTCTTGGATTGTGGTTTGATACCTTTCATTATTTTCAAAACGCTTTTAGCTATTATCTCTTCAAATTTCTTCTGTCCTGTTCTCTCTCTTCTTTTAAAAAAAATTTTTTTTCGCCCTGGCCGGTTTGGTTCAGCGGTTAGAGCATCGGCCTGCGGTCCTGTGAGACCCGGGTTCGGTTCCCGCTAAGGGCACGTACCTCGGTTGCAGTTTGTCCCCGGCCCTGGTCGGTTGTGCGGGTGGCAGCCACTCGATGTGTTCCTTTCACGTCGATGTTTCTCTCTCTCTCTCTGTTCCTCTCTCTCCCTCCCACTCTACCTGAACAAAAAATGGAAGGGTGTCCTCGGGTGAGGATAAAAAAAAAAAAAAATTTTCTTTATTGATTTTTAGACAGAGAGATAGAAATATGGATGAGAGAGAACATCGATTGGCCGCCTTCTGCATGCCCCCACTGGGGATTGGGCCCACAACCTGGGCATGTGCCCTGACCGGGAATCAAACCGGCCACCTCTTGGTGCAGGGGTCAACACTCAACCACTGAGCCACACCGGCCAGGCTATTGTCTGTCTTCTTTTGTGATTCCAATTATAATTACAGTTTCTGTTGACCAATCTTCAGGTTAACTGATTTTTTTCTCCCACTGGGTTAGGTCTAGGAGGTCAGGTCCGTGAGCCTGTCAGAAGCATCAGTATTTCTGTTACTGTGTTTTTGTTTCTTCTCTGGCATTTTGACTTCTAGTTTTCATCTCTGATGAACTATCTCGTGCGTTCATGTGTGTTGTTCACCTTTTGCATGAAATCCTTTAACATGTTCCCCAGATTTATTTTAAATTCTGGGTCTGATTCTGTTGACTGTTTTGTCTTTCGACAGTGGGCTGTTTCTTTTTTTTTTCTTGCCCTTTAAATGAGTGCTTTTTGACTGACTGCTGGATGCGCAGACATTCGAGACGGGGATCAGTCGTATCTCTGCTCGCAGACGGGCCTGTTTTTTCTGGCCAGGCCTTTGGTGCGAGGGGGAGTCGGTCTGGTAGGAAGTGGGCTGACATGTGGCTTCTGCTGTTACTCTGATCACTTGAGTGACCACCGGTTTTAATTCCTGTGGTTTCACCTGTGCTTGGCCAGGGGGTGGGGTTTCCAGAGGGTCTTTCCTTGTGTCCCCGCCCCGTCAGCTTTTGGTTTGTGCCTTAGAGGGGGCTCCTCCCCTCCCCTCGTCCCTCCCCCGGGGGTGGACTGCTGCCACTTGTTGCTCCAATTTACGGGCTCAGAGAGGAGGGCCCTGCCTTCCCTGAGTGACAGCCGGCTCTGGCAGGTCTTGCGCAGGGAAGAGCTTCGCGCCCCGCTTCCAGCGTTTGGGGGTCTCCGACAGAGCCCAGGCGTGGTTTCCTGCCCGTCACTCATGCAGCCATGTTGGGCCCTCACCAGTGCAAGGGGGCAGAGGGGGTAGGTTTGCGCCCGCACCTGCGCCCCCGCAGTGGCTTGAAGTATTTTTCCCACAGAGGGTAATGGCCCCGGCAGGGCTTTTCCGTTCCCTGGGCCGTGGCA